GGGGGCTTGGAAGATGCATTTGTAACATGCCAGACTTGGTCACCAAAATATTTCAAAACTTTTATTGAACTCTACAGTTAAAAAACCAACAAAACCAACAACATATTGTTAGACTAGACTTCGTAACTTCTCGCTCAATGTGTCACAATCTTGACCGGCAAATGTGACAAATCTTCCTTTTACTTCTTCTGCAAACAGCAAACAGGGATCCTTCGTTCCAGGTGGCTCACCCCTGTTTCGTATGTCGTGAATTGAAAAATCAATAGGTTAGTCGTCTTTTAAAAAAATATTCATGTATTCAATGTATTGCATTGAACAAAATTATCCAGCCCGCACTCGGAATTCTTCCACTCATTCAGCCCACTTCCAAAAGGTTTGGTAAGCCCTGGTGTAGAGTATTTTACGCTAAAGTATACCACTTTATACGAGTTATAAAAAGTATCAAATTGTGTTTGTGGATAACATTATAACATGTGTAATTTGAGACCAATCTAAGTACATGTAAAACGTATTTGACCTTATGTCACGGATACACCATTAAAGTCTGTCACAGACGATTGCATGTTATATGCCCAATATGACAGACCTACCTGGTTGTCATTCTGCACTTCCTGTTACACCAGGCGAAAAGAAAAGGCTCAAGTGGGGTGGACAGTCTTCCATTATGTATTCTGTTCCCGCCTCTGAGATGGCTTGGTGTTGACCGACTTCTATTTTCTAGGAAACGGAGAGCTACTTGGCATTTAAAAAAATCTTATTTGGTTTTCTTCTTTCGCATCCTGATATTGATTGTACGTGGGCTACTGCTTTGGGCTGCTCGTTGAAAGGCGCCACTGGTATGTCCTGTTTGTTTCCCTTTCCCATGTTGTTTCTTTCTGTCCGTCTTGCTTATTCTCTGCACTGAATGACCGTTGTTATGTTAGTACGCTTCTAATTCTATACTGAAAAATACTGAGACCTATTGTTTAGGCATAAACAGGAAGAGTATGATCAGCACACCTTACTTTTGAATCCTGTTGTGTGTCGCTGAGATGAGTCAGCTTTGATGGAAGTCTAGGGAACG